TTTTTGGATGTTTTTGTTTGTCTTTACTATTTTTTGGGGTATCTTTTGTTTTTCGTCGAAAATCCCCCTGTAGGGGGACAGGCCCGACATAACACTATGTTGTGGTGTTCCCCGACTTCTTGGTGCCGCCGCAAGTCGCGATCCTCTCACGACCAGTCCAGCGCATAGCCTTCATGGCCGTCCGGTGTTCTCCCTTGCCCCTCTCTTGCCCTTTTGGTCCTGTTGCGCTCACCTTGGTTCGGATTGTTGGCCGCATCGCCTCAGTCGGCCATTGTTCCACGATGCCGCCTGCCCGTCATTTTGGCGCTACGACATCAGTCGGTCTAGGTTTCCCGGTCGCAGAGAGATGGAGGAGAAGGAGGGGGAGGAATGATAAGCATACTAAGCATAATGCATACAAATGTTACAAATCCTAAGAAGAAGACTAATCGTACGGACAGTAATGATACACATTAAGTTGTGACAAAAGGAGGAGGAGGAGGAGGAGAAGGAGGCAGATGGGGATGAGGAGGCGGAGGAGGAAGAGGAAGAGGAGGAGCAGGAGGAGGAGGACGCGCGTGAAGCCCACCGTCGCTCCACGCCTCCAATCATCGTCCTTCCACCCTTCTCTCTCCATCCCTCTCCGTCCCTTCCTTCCTTTTTCCCATCCGTCCCTCCATCTCTCTCCGTCCCCCTTCCTCTCTCGGCATCGTTGTAGCTTCAGGGGGAGACGTATCGACTCCCAAACGCCCGCCCCATGGCCCACTCCGCCCAGGAACGTGCGGTCTTACTATCGGGTGCCTGTCGCCGATTCGTCGGCAATCTTTCGCCGATTCAAGTTCGACGCTTCTTGCCCGGAGCTGGCTCTCCCCTGTCGTTGCTCTTCCCCTGCGGTCCGCCGCCCTTACAGATGAGACTGGACCAGAAATCCATGCCAATGGGCCCCAACGTGCGTGAAGTCAAGATTTCCTATCGGGCGCATCCCCTCCCATTCAAAAGAACTTGCTGGAGACTCGGGGGGGGGGGAGGTGTTCAATTCGAGGGTGCGCGGCCAAAACCTCCCGAGCGAGTGGCAGGATTTGCCCGGGACCTTTCTTAGTCTCCTGAAGCTTTCCTGACCGAGGATGCTTCCGACTTGTTGCGCCTCGGCACGGGCATTCAGGGGATGCCAGAATCGTCCCGAAGTGCCGCCTAGGGCTTGGGCTCGCGCCCGGGCACAGGCAGGCGGGCACAGGGGAGGAGGAGGAGGGGGAGAAGGAGGAGGCGGAGAACAGGGGGAGGGGGGAGGAGGAGGAGGAGGAGGACGAGGAGGAGGGGGAGGGGGAGGAGTGTTAGGAGAAGGAGGAGGAGGAGGAGGAGGAGGAGCAGGAGGAGGAGGAGGAGCAGGAGGAGGAGGAGGAGGAGGAAGAAGGCAGCAGGAGGAGGAGGAGGAGGAGGTGGAATGAGGAGAAGGAGAAGGAGGAAAGGAGGAGGAGGACGAGGAGAAGCAAGGCGGTAGGAGGAGGAGGAGGGAGAAGAGGAGGAGGAGGAGGAGGAGGAGGAGGAGGAGGGAGCACGAGCTAAATGGCCAGGTGCTAAATGGCCCATACATGCGAGCACACCGCCGCATTGTTTGCGCTGCTCGCGTTGACCCTTGCACTCAGTCTGACCTGTTTGTCCGCACTGAAGACCATATCCCACCAGTTTACTCCGACATCGTTCAACGCAGGCTTAAATCTTGTGCCCTTTTCACACGTTCTGACGCGGGCCCCTCGAAAGCCATGCTGCCCCTCCGGGATGAGCAGGGGCGCTCCTTGTTGCCGTGGGCGACAAAGGTAGTTGTTGACACGGCTCTTCTCCACAGCAATTTGCTTGCCATCCTTGATGAGCTTCCATCATCTCCCTTGGGCAGTCAGGCGTGGCATAACTTCATGGTGGACCGCCCTGACGAGTGGAGGAACTACAGAGAGCGGATTATCGTTGGTAGTGGAGATTTAATGAGAACCTCGTATCAACGACGAACTACGACGACTGCCGACTAACCTCAACGATGACGACGTCTGCGGGGTTGAGTCGGGGTCCGTCTGGTGCGCTGGGGAGGGTTCAGTCGGGGGTACATTCTTATAGATTCGGGGTTCCATTCGCGGTTCATCCGGGTTCATTCGGGCTCCTTCGGCCCCAGCAGGTGGTCTCAAACAACAGGTTCTTGCAGGATTCGGAGCCCGAGGTGGTACATTCGCCTGTGAGCGCCCCTCACAAACATACTACTCAACGCGGCATCCGCGTCTCTTGTTTTCGTCGTCGTCGTTCGTCGCTGTTGGTCGATCGGTCTGTCGTCGTCGTCCGTGGGTCGTCTCCGTCGGTCGTCGTCCTCGTCGTTAGGTCGTCGTTGATCGGTCGGTCGGTCGGTCGGTTGGTCGGTGATCGTTGCCGTCGTCGTTGACTGTCTGTCGTCGCCGACGGTCGTCGTCGTCGTCGATCGATTGGTCGGCCGATCGGTCGGTCGTCGTCGTCCTACTTCGCTCGCTTTGTCGGTCGGTCG